TAGTCCTGTTTATATATAGTTTTCTCTAAACAAGAGCCAAACTTTTCGGCTGCCAGTATCTCCGTTTTCATTATGTAATGTCTCCATAATTCTCATTGCGAGTAACTGTGTTATTAAATATAGCTCCTTTCCCTCGATTCTCTTAAAGAAAATGTCATTTTCTCTCTCTGCTCAATTTTTTTCTTTTAACCCCCTTTGGCCTGCATTTATTGAAAATATTTCTTCTTCATTTGATAATATATTCAGTCCCACATATATTTGAATAGCTTCCTTTCTTCCCGTGTATTCATCTCCTGTGAGAGCATCTGCCAGTACGTTATGTTTGTCTGTTATATATTTGAACTTGAAATTAGTCCTGCAATAACAGTGTTCCTCGACGGATTCTATTATTCATAATATGTACCAAGGTGGCGTGATCCGTCTCTATTGTGAATTTAGCGCCCAAAAGATAGATTTAAAAGATTCACACAAAATAACACACTTGCAAATTCTAATTGTCATGCTATCGTGACACTTGACACAAAACATGATAAAACGCCGTCATGTGAAAAAGATTAATTACTATTAAACTGGGAATAAGCCACAATTAAAGATAAAAATACGTTTATTGACGTTTCAATTTCCACTTCGGAAATCGTTCTCAAAATACAAACAGTAAATTGTAAATAAACTTATTCCCAGTTTAATAGTAATTAATTTACAATGCCACAAGAAAATAGCTTCAGAACAATATGTGAAAAAGATGTTAAATTCCTACATTTCTCTGCAAGAGAGTAACTTCGAGCTAGACGATCTGTAGTTACAACGTTTCCCGAGAGGATGAAGCATAATTTTGCAGAACAAAAATTTTACTTTTTTATTGACAACTTTTTCACTGGACTACCACTGATAAGGGCCGTAAGTGAATTGGGTTGTGGTGGCACGATCAGTTCACTTATTAAGTTCAGTACATAAAATTGACCTGCCAGCGCAATAAAATTTAAAAAATGAAATTTGGCGGCGAATGGGTTAAGATCAACTTTTTTTGTCGCCGAAATAGCCGGAAAGATACAATTAATTCATGTTTGATTTCAACAAAATTGCAAAAATTATCTAGAAGTTTGATGCATTGTGTTTGGATATATTCATACTAGTCACGAATAAAGGCGAAAAAACTTGCTGACAGGTAGATAAAGTGTATAAGTGCAAATACTTTTAACCTGAATAAACTTTTATTATTGCATAAAATTAATACTTTTGAAAAACAGATTCTGTCTCCGGCTTCTATACAACATGTAGCTTCTCCTAAAAATTTTAAAGTGTTTGTTTGTCTTTGTGTATTGTATTTTGTATTGTTATGTCCAAATTTTACATTTATGACATTCTACTATGTCGGATAGGCCACAACTGACGAAATGCCCCTGAAGATGATCTATTGATCGAAAGTACTTGGGCAAGATTAAATTAATCACCGTGTTCGATAGTTGCCTTGTATACCCTCAAAGTTACATTATTCGAACATTCAACCTTATATTGGTTTAGTCAACATTAGTTGAGCAGGTAAGTATTCAGGTAAAATTGAAGCTACTGTGGAGTGTCGTTATCTTGTTTGTATCATAAATTCCTGGTAATATAAAAACGATTAAAAAATCGTTTAAAATTATAAAAACAATTAAAATACATTTTATTTCATAAAATTGTAAACATTTTAACAGTGAGTTATACTATCAAGGGTTGATCTTTTAATGACCACAATAAATATCTTGATCGTTAAATATTTCCTGGAATAATTATACAGGTTCCCTCTATTCTGTATAATTTGTAAATGTATAAAACCGATGAGAAATTTTTAAATATACATTTTGTTTCATTTAGTTGAAAGTGTTACAACTACTACCAGTGTTATACCTATTTATACCTATAAAACAGCATTATGGGGGTTCGAGGAAAAACAGTGATGGTGCTTGTTCCAGTGTTCCAGCAAAAAAAAAGCATTTATCTGCTGACGCTAAAAAAATCGTAAAAACAATATATAGTTCTTTACTTACAAGAGGACTTACTGCTAAAACTGCTGCCAGTGAAATATCTGATTTAACGAATATACCTCTAAGCACAGTGAAAAGAATTACATCAAATCCCATTAAGTCAAGAAGGAAGCGTAAGGATGCCAGTTCTACCAAATCTATTGACGAAAGTGATAAGGACTTAATAAGACGAAAAATTTACACAATGTACGAAGAGTAACGGATACCTATATTAGATGCTTTAAAACAACGGCTTACTAATGATGATACACAAATAAACTTTAGACGCATTAGTCTTTGGAGGATTTTGTCTAAAATGGGCTTCAGAAATCGTACAATTGACAAAAGGCAAGTGCTTATGGAGTCCCATCGTTTACAAAAGTAGCGTACTGAATATATAACTTCCATAAGAAAGTACCCTACAGAAGGTCGACCAATAAATTATCTGGACGAGACAAGATTTGATACTCATGAAACACCATCCAAAGGATGGTCCGATTCTTTCAACAGGTGTCAAACAAAAGTTCTATCAAACAAAGAGAAAAGAATAATAATTTTACATGCAGGATCAGAAAATGGTTGGGTCCCAAATGCCTTATGGCTTTCTGCAAAGAACATTAAAGACTCCTGCGTGGACTACCTTGAGGATACAACAGCAGAGCTTTTTGGGCAATGGTTTAAGAATTTTATTATACCTAATCTTCCTCAAAATAGTGTAATAGTAATGGACAATGCAAGTTACCACAGTCGTCAATTACATAAGTCTCCAAGTGCAAATAACAAGAAAATTGAAAGTCAAAACTACCTGTTAGAAAACGATATATATTTTAAAGAAAGTTATTTAAAAAATGAACTGTTAGAAGTGTTAAAATCATTTTCTATTAAAAAAGTATATTGTGTGTGACGCATTGGCCGAGGACTTTGGACATACAGTGTTACGGCTTCCACCCTACTATTCTTTATTTAATCCCATAGAGCATATGTGGCAACAACTAAAGTCAAATGTTAGGTCACAAAATGTTTCTCCGAGTTTAAGTGGTAGTGTAGTCGAATTAATAAGGAAATGTGTTGATGATATCTCCCCAGAATGTTGGAAAAATTCAGTACGCCATGTAATGAACGTAGAAAATTCATATGTTACTTTGAATCACATAATTAAACCAATTGGTATTAATCTTGAAGAGGATAGCGACAGCGATATAGAACTAGGTATTTAGGAATTCATAAATATATTTTGGGTATTTTTTTTTTTGTAAATATTAACTTGGATATATTTTTCTATATTTTTTTAAATTCATCTATGTTTTGTACATTATGATGTATTAGAGCAAAAACTTTTAAACACGCCAGTTTTTTGCTGACAGTCCTAAGCCTGTAAAAAGTCTAAAGGAAAGTACCTTTCTGAATTTAGATCCATATACTACAATTATTCACGTAGAACAAAAAATCTACTTTCTTCATGTTAAAAATTGTTCAATTATCAAGTATATAAACTTGAACAACCTGAAAATACCATATGAAATAATTTAATACATTTTTTATAATCGTGTATTACACAGCTACCATTAAAATATATTAAATAACAAACTTTCTGAAGTGCGACCCTGTGTACTTCAAAAGTTTATTAAGAGACTCTTGTATACACAATAGAATCAACTCAGGTAACCATTAAGCACTCAACCATTTTTCGTGAAACAAATTTTACATATGGTGGAACCCGTATTGAATGGAAGATTCCAATAGTGACTGAATAAACAGGGAAATGAATTTGAAAAACCAAAGTTACTAATAATATAAGAGAAACATTGCAAATCTGGAAACATTGCAAATATCAAATCTGGAATTTCCGTATCCCAAAATAGGTGTATACTCCATTCCACGAATATACGACTGTTTTAAATTCGCTTTAAGGTGTCGATTGAAATGGTCCAATGTACTGAATTGTACAATAGTAAATTCTCCCCATTTTTAAAAGACTGTTACGACAGATATAAGCCTTAGATTTAAATATGAAGTCATGATATAAATATAAAGTTATTTGAAAAGTATATTTGAAATATATAATTACTATCATGGAGTTTATTTTTTCATTTCAATTATTTCATTGTAAACAAGTTGGTTTTTGAATTATGTGATTTAAACGAAATGTAACAATACTTAAGTGATCAAATAATGTAAATTTTTTAGTCGAATATTCAATTAGTATTAAAAAAAAAAACAAAAAACTTACTTATTCACTTATTCTCTTAATCTTTTAAAACTATCATCAACGATCAGATTCACAGCCATAATCAGTCGGCGATATATGAAACTGTATATAAATTTTCGTTACTTTTTAATATCTCTACTAATGACTCGGTATTTTAACTATCAAGAGCCGGTATGTTATACCCGTTACTTTCGGAACTTTTAAGAGAACATAAACTCAAAGCAAACAAATATTTAAAACTACCAAAGTGAAATATTAGATCCTTTTTCTGGTTTGTGAACCATCGTTCTGTAAATTTCTTTTAATTTATATTAAAAATGGTATATTTCTTTTTATTACAGTTGTAATACCTCATAAAGCAATAAAATCTGTTATATTAAAGAAACCCGGCACGCCTATTTGGTGTTTACATTTCACGGAAAGCTTACCCAAATGTCTAAAGAACACATTTGGCTTCATAGACGGCATTGTATTTATTTGTAGATTGTAACTGAAATAATTTTAGTTTAGATGTCATACTAGTAGACCCATTTTATTGGAATAATGATTAGACCAATTGACCTTCATACTTCTACTTGCACAGTAAAATATTCGTTGTCGCAGTAAACCAAAACAGTCGTATATTCGTGGAATAACCTATACCTCAAATTTTGTAGAATTATGACTAGCAAATTACGAGATTATTGGCCGTTTTCAGACTTTTGGGCCATTCTGTATATTTAATGAAGTACTGCCTTGCCAACTGCTAAAATATTACTTAAATATAAGTTAACTAGATTTTTACTTACCGTATATGTGTTTATTGTCATGTTTATTTCCCTCTGTGTTTTCCCATGAAAATTCATCAGAATCATTTGGCATGTGGTTGTAACCAATACCAACCACATGTTTATTATCTTTTACGATACAGGCACCCACTTGAGTCACCGGATCTTTACTTCTTTGTGCTGCTAACTTGGCAATTTCCATAAAAAATGCCTCGGTAGTCAAATAATCTCTGCAATATTCATGGCGTAAGATAGTTGGTAGTGATTTCAGGGTCGCAACCCTGTCTACAGTCAAAGATCACAATTGTAGGTAGTGACTCATGTTTTAATTATTATTTGTAGGTCAATAAAATTGGACATTTACCCTTTCGAAAAAAATAGTTTTGTTCTGATAAAATGAGAAAATTGAATTATTACTTAATAAACAAATTAGAGGGTTAATGCAGAATCTGTTTAACCCTTTGACTGCCAGTCTCAGTATGTGGTTATGCCCTATGTGCCACTTATAAACTAACAAATTTTTACAAAAAAATTGCGGTAATTATGTTGTTTTAAGTCATTGTTTTACAAATTTTTTATATACAACAAAAAAAATATATAAGAAAAAACAAACGCGGGAGCCGCGTTGCCGGCACTGGGCTAGTAAGTAAGTCCTAGTGTGCCGCCAACGCGGTATCCGCGTTCATTTATTTTTACATTTATGTACATATATATTTAGAACAAATGCTTATATTTGATGATAATTATACAAAAATCAGTTTTCATGGTATTGTCTAAAACACGGTGTCAAGCACAAACCTGGTTCGTTTGGACACTGAGGGCAAAAATATGTGGAATCTTTTCTGATATTTCTCGTTTGCCAACAGTACTTGCAACGTCGCCGTTTAGCATTTCCCTTATTATCTTTGGGACAGTATTGTGGTAAATGATTGACACAGTCCTTTCTCTCTTGCTTTGGTTGTGGTGACCCTAATAAGCTGTCAATAACTGCCATTCTAAAATCGTATAAATTCATTTTCGGTTTTTCATATTTATTATACAAAAAATGCGAGTTCACCAGCATCATTCGAAATAGATGTATACCTAACATTTTGTACCATCTCAAAACTTTATGTTCGCAAGAATAATACTAAAGCATCTGGTCGCAGTGGTCCACACCTCCCATGAACTTATTATATTCTGCAACAAGTTTTGGTTTCGATTTCTCTATACCTCTTTTTGATGTTGTCTGAATCATTTCGCCGCTGAATTCTGTTGAAATGCTCAATACTTCAGTACGATCTTTCCATTTGCACACGCAAGTGCCTTCTGCATATTCAGAATAACATTCGCCTTTTTTTAATTTTTTTGTAAGCACATTTTCTGGATTGCCTGTACGTGTTCTACGAAGAGTACCTGTACAATATGTTTTTTCTTGCAACAATTTCGTAGACAGTTTAAGGCTGTTGTAAAAATTATCCATAAACAATGCATGCCCTACGTCGGTCTTGCCCTCCATCAATTTTTGGACAACTTTTACTGTATGTTTCGCTCCTCCCACATCTGGATCTGCTGAACCTGCATATACTAATATTTTCTGTGCCATTCCGGTTGGCTCCGCTAGCACATACAGTTTTATCCCGTATTTGTGCCGTTTCTGTTTGTTGTACTGTCGGAAAGAAAGTCGACCTTTCCATAGCACCATAGACTCGTCCAAAGCGAGTTCCCGACTTGGGTAATAAATTTCTTCCATTCTTGAGTTGAAATAATTTACCAGTGGAAGGATTTTTCCCAATCTGTTCTGTGCATCTATTTCATTGGTAGAAAAATGCAGAGCTCGTAATATTAACAGAAACCGATTTCGGCTCATAAAAGTAGAAAATACTGGAATACTGTATAAATAATTTGTTTTCCAATAATCGTTAATTCTGTTCAGTTTTATATTTCCCATATGGAACAATAGACCAAGAAAAATTTTAAACTCCTCTTTATTTAAATCCTTCCAGGCCACAATTCGACTTTGTTCACATGTGCTTTTTGATAATATCTCGATTGCATATAGGTTGGAGTTGTTGATAATTAATTCATAAAAACATTCACCAAAAAGCAAATTAAAGTAGTCAATTGGTTTATGACTTTCCATAACTATTTTGAGTCCAGAATTTGCAGAAAAAGGTATTGGTCTCCGAACTGGTGCTACTGGTAACCATACTGTTCCACCCCCTTGAACTTCATCTGGTAATTGTGCAGCTCCTTCTTCAGGTTCTTCATCTTCATCTCCATCAGAATTGTCTTCGAATTCCCCTTCGGAAATATCGAATTCATCATCTGACTCTTCCAAACACTGTAATAATTCAGCTTCAGTTAGAGGTCGACTATCTTTGCGAAATTTCTTGGAAGTTGATGGTTCATATATATTTTCTTTGTTGTCCATATTTAACAACCTCCACTCCCAATGTCACTGAAATAGAATTGTTTTAATTGTAGCTAATACCAAAATAATACTCAATACTGAATAAAATTAATATATATGATTAATATTATTTAATATTTAAACCACTTTAACCAAAATATCAATCATAAATGGTTAAACTTCAAATGTAATAGTAATCAATATGGGAGTACATTTTTACAGACACAATATACTCATGAATACCATTTATAAGCACTCTAAATAAAATTGAAAAACACATATATTGGAGATTAGGATATTTCTTTTAATACATATTTCAGTATTTTGTTACAAAATTAACTTAATTATTTATAAAGATCTAAATAAACACCTGCTAATAATTTAAAACTCACCTTTATTACACCTTCGAAATACAATTCACACCACCTTTATAGTTTTTTTGACATACACACTCAACACTACTTCCTCGTTAAATATTTAAACCACAGCTGTTTTTTAACTCTTCTAACACTTCCCTGTGTGCCTAGCTTTATAGTAAGACTGTTACTTATGTGCCAGCCGAAAATTAGACTTTTGAAATGAAGTAGGTATAGCACGCGGTAGGCGCGTGCACGGCACAGGGCCAAACTTTGTTCCAACGCGGGAGCCGCGTTGCCGGCAGTCAAAAGTCTCTTAAAAATTGACAAAAACCTTGTTCTTCTAACTGTTCAAGGAATATGCGTTGAGATCTCATTTTATTCTCCTCGGGGCCAAACATAAATTGCAGTGCATCCAGGATACCTGCATTTTGATCTTGATTTTTGCCTTTAAGTAACGAATTCTGGGAGAAAAATTTTATTTTAAATCCTTTATAAAAGGTATATAATAAAATGCCCAAACAGGCTATCACAGTTACATTACAGAACGTTTTCGTAATGTTAATTCCATCATCAGTGTAAACGGAGTATAGGTACATGTTATGAGCTACCAAAACCCGTTAAATGTTACAAATTTATAGTTGTTTTACATTATTTATAATTACAAATTAGGATGTTTAAGTTACCGTTGGAATTGGTAACATGGCGACGTATGACCCTACATAGGTTATGTGGTCCTGAGACGAAGTGTCTTCGAGGACCTGTTGATAACCTTATCAACAGGTTATCATGGTCTTGGAATATTTTCGGGATTCAAATGATCTTGCACAGAGGGTTGATATTGGGCAAATTGTGGTGTAAAATGTGTTCTCTTTCATTATTTCCTGTCTTTTTTAGGAATATAATTTGCCGTGTTATTCTCCTATAAAAGCCGGCTAGCGAAGAAAAAAACTATGATTGGAAATGTGTTTGAAAGAATTCAAGCTAAAGAAAAAAATATGAATGGAAGCAATGTACTTGTTAAATTATGTAGTATTTTGACAAAAGTTTCCGAAGTTAGTGTCTACAGAGTGATTAAAGCAGACGATGAAGCAAACGATAATAACACTTTAAAGGCGAAGACGAAACAAATAAAATTGTATGATACAACCAAACAGGCCATTCGTCGTGAAGTAAATGAATTTTATTTTAAAAAGGAATTATCAATTATAGAAATAATTGCTTCTTCTCTTTTTTTTCTTCTTCTTCCTAGTTTATAAATAGGCTTAATGCCTGTTTTACTTCGGTTTCTAGCCTCAATTGACGTTGTTTTGGCGATCTTCTTCTTTTTGGCGATTTGTCTCTTACTATTCGTACTATTCTATTTTCTGTCATTCTTTCGATGTGTTGATTCCATTCCACTTTTCTTCTTTTGGTCCACGGATTTATTTCCTCTATACCACATCTCGCTCGTATTTCCTCACTTCTTACTCTGTCTCTTAGAGTTTGGTTTGTTATTTTTCGTAAGACTTTCATTTCTGTTGTTTCCAGCAGTCTTTGTGTTTTATTTTTAATAATTTATATATCCTGGTTTTCGTTTCTGTTGTGAGGTATTTGTTTATCCAGATTGTGTTGTTGAGACATCCTGCTGCTCTGTTTGCCATGTTCACTTGTTTTTGTACTTCTTCTTCCACTTTTCTGTAGCTTGACAAACTTATTCCCAAGTAGTCAGTTTCCATCACTTGTTCTATTATTTTGTTATTTACGACTAGTTTACATCGTCTCGGTTCCACTGATATCACTACCGCTTTAGTTTTCTCTGTTGAGATCACCATGTTGTATATGAGCGCCGTATCTTCGAATTCTTTGTAGGTCATCTTCATTTTCGGCTGTTATTATGGCGTCGTCGGAGTAGCATATTATTCTTATTTCCTTTTTTTCCATTCTATATCCTCTTCTTTTTTTAACTTTCTTTATGATTTCATCCATTATCAGATTAAATATTAATGGGCTCAGCGAATCTACTTGTCTAATGCCAGTTTCATATTTGATAGTTTGCGATTATGATTTTGATTTCGTTTTTATATAAATATTAGTACTATTAATTGGTTACAATTCTAGATATTTCTAATTATTTGTTTGCCCAGGTTAGCTGAATAGACAGGATGTGTCAGTGTACATTTCCTGAACTGAAACTCGCCTGGAGCTTTTTGAATATTAATTTATGTAAATAATATTATGTGATGAATAAAGGCCTTTATTATTATTATAGTTTTCCTTTACATCTTACCATAACTATGTTATCTTTATATATATAATATATATATATATATATATATATATATATATATATTATATATATATATATATATATATATATATATATATTAAAACCTAGAGCTAAGATTAATATTATTACTAAAACTAATAATAAACTCACCAGTCTTCCGGGTTGAACCGCGTCGTAATCCATTTTGCCAAGCTTTCGGCATCCTCTCTGATGCCTTCCTCAGGGCTTCCGAGGTCTCAGTCTCCCGAGCCCCCAGACACTACTACACTGTTCACTATTCACGGCACGATCACAGTAGTGATATATATATATATATATATATATATATATATATATATATATATATATATATATATATATATATATATATATATTCTCAATGGTTTTTACTAAATCCAGCGAAATTCCCTTTTCATATAATAAATGTATCGCGTCCCTAATTCTCACTCTACCAAAAGCTTTCTTCGAATCTATCAGACACATATATGCTGGTTTGTTATATTTCAGCGATTTTTGTTTTATTTATCTTATTACAAAAACTGCATCCGTGCATGATCTTCCTGTCCGAAATTCTTGCTGTTCCTCTTGCAGAGATATTCGTTCGTTTATTTTTCTGGCTATTGTTCTTGTTGTCAATTTGAGTGTAGTATTTAATAGATTTATTGCTCGATAATTATTGGGGTCTTTCTTATCTCCTTTTTTTGAATAACATCACCATTATCGCTCTCTTTCATTCATCTGGTATTCTATTCGTGGTGATTATTTGATTAATAAGAAGTTGCATTTGTTATACAAGGTGATCACCTTCATATTTTAAGAGTTCTTTTGGTATTTGATCTTCTCCTGGTGACTTTTTGTTTTTTAATTTGTTTATTCCTTCTTTAACATCGTTTTTGCAGATTTCGGTATTTTCCTCAGTTATTCATCTCTTTCAATTTAATAAAACTATTTCAAAAATATCAAGACGTGTTTTGTCACAAACTTTAGGTGAAATAAACTTTCTTCAGGAAAGGTACTTCAAAAGAAATAGAAATAGTACCTGTATTGAAAAATACGAAATTATTTTATGGCGCAGAAAGTATTTGAAATAAATAACAGAATTTCGAACAGATGGAAAAAACATATACAGATGAAATATGGTTAAATGAAGGACGTGACAAAAACATGGCAAGATTTAAATGTGAAAAGTAAACGACAAGCTTTCCTAACTGGTTTGTTGACAGGTTTCCGGAAAGGAAAAACTCCTTATTATTAGCTATATTGGTAGCAACTCAGGATTTGTTAAAGGAGGTTTAAATGCATTTGTTTCTAAAAGACTGGAGATTAACATGAGGAAATGGATACAAGTCATAATGAAAAATGGGTTTCAGATATTCTGTTAAAAATCGAAACAGGATCCTGTTATTATCAGACCACCGATGGACAAAACGTATTGTCGACTAGAGACTAAGACAAGAATCGCTACGAAACAGAGGACATCCACCAACCAGATGAACTGATGACCTAAAAGCAGTAACTTAACGCAAGCAGCACAAGATGAAGACAAATGAAAAGAGCTAAGGATATGTCCAGCAGTGCACGCATATAATTTGATGATAAGGACATTGTTCTTTAAGAAATGTCTATTTCCTTAGACAACTTTTGTATTGTTTTTAAAAATGAATACTATTCACAATTTATACGAAAATTAACATATTACTAATATCACTAATTTTACCCAGATATGTTTAACTCTATCATTCTTCGTTTTTTAATTTTATCATTGTACCCCAAAAATGTTATGCTTAAAGTGACAATATCGGGGTAATTTAACCTAACACAGTATAAAATATTATTACTAGAACATCTTACCTTCTGCCTGCCATTGTACACAAACTAATTCTATTTCCTATACTTTTAATATATTTATACTCTATACCATTTACTGATTAGATCAGTTTCTATGATACTAATGAGATGTATTTTAATTACTTGGTAGAGCAGTAGTTTATAAGCGTTATTTTATAAGCGTTACACTTATAAAATAATAAAAATAATAAAATATAAACGAAATATACAGTTTCGTTTGTATATTTTTAACTCCTACTGTTCTGCTAGATACATGGCATTTATTGACTTTGAGAAGGCATTTGATAGTGTGGAACACTGGGCAGTACAGAATTCCCTACAGAACAGCAGAATAGACTACCGATATACCGACTTAATTACAAATATATACAACAAGGCAACAACAACTATTAAGCTAATGAAACAAACGGAGCCTATTAAAATAAACCGAGGAGTAAGACAAGGAGATACCATCTCGCCCAAGTTATTTAACCAAGCGCTAGAAGATGTTTTTAAACGACTACACTGGGATGACTTGGGAATTAATATAAACGGGCAAAATCTGAATCATTTACGATATGCTGATGATATTGTATTAATAACAGAAAAAAGTGAAGAATTACAAAGAATGATGGAAGAACTAGATAGAGAATCGACAAAAATTCAACCAGAAGAACTTATAATTACAGTGGCACAAACAAAAATAGAACAAGTAAAAGAGTATATATATCTAGGCCAAATCACTAAATTAAATAAAGAAAATAAGACCGAAGAAATAAAGAGAAGAATAAGATTGGCCTGGGCATCATTCGGAAAACTGTCTTATATTCTAAAGAATTCAAAATACCCCAAATACTTAAAAACGAGAGTCTTCAATCAATGTATACTCCCTGTCCTCACATATGGCTCTCAGACATGGACGTTTACAAAGGAAAATATGGAAAAAATAGCAAAGACAGCAAGATCCATGGAAAGACAAATGCTGAACATTAAACTATCAGACAAAAAAGAAACGAATGGATCCGTAATAAAACAAAAGTGAAAGATGTCTCAACCCAAGTAGCAAAGCTTAAATGGAAGTTCGCTGGACACACCCTAAGGCAGAAAGATCAAAGATGGACTAAAACAATTATACATTGGAGACCATGGAATCACAAACTTAAAAGGGGAAGGCCACAAATGCGATGGTCAGATGACCTGAAGAAACACGCCGGGTCAAAATGGATGCAAATTGCCCAAGATAGAGAGGCATGGAAGAAGGAGGAGGAGGCCTATATCCAAGGATGGATGTTAAGGGCTGTATAGATAGATAGATAGATAGTTCTGCTAGTCGTTGCTAATAAATATTATGGATATTGTAAATTATTACTTTTTATATGTTTAGTAATAAACGATATATACTTGCATAATACAATTCTATTGTATTCAAAAAAAAATTTTTTTTCATTAACCTTCCGCCGGTAACGTGAATTCTTGTAGCATAGTTGGTAAAGTCGGTCTACGACACCGACTTTTTTAATAATGAATATCTTACGTTGTGATTTTCTGTGAATATTTTGATGTGACTATATATTTAAAATAACTATATTTAAATAACAATATAGTAAGGAATGATCAATATTTATTTATTTTCGAGAAAAAAATGAATAAAAAAAAATTGGCTTCTTTTAGGTACTAACATAATTGACAAATAATTTACAAAAACATGTCAAGTTTTTTAATACAAAATATCAATAAACATAAAGACAAGAGTTGAAATGTCACAAAAAAAAATAAAATTATTTAACAGATGTCCAACATAAACTGAAACTATTGTCCGTTTGCTTCCTCATTTTCTTCTACACTGCACACAACGCATAGTCCGGTTAAATGTTCCAAACACATATATATTTGCCACACTGCCTACAAAGAAACCGAGTTTTGCGGTTTTTCTTACTACTGCAGAACGTACATCTTCCATACGCATTATTCTGGATAGGATGATTTCTTGTCTGCATGCCACAAATTTCCACTAACCTCATACGAATTGTCCTTGGAATATTTTGTTCTAGGGCTCGTCTGCGAATATGTTCGTCAATAAGTTGAAAGCCTAAGTCTTTCAAAAACTTTTGTCTAGGAATGCGCGTGTCTGTATTCGATTTGTAGATAATGTAGGAATTTATCCCAGCGACATTCAAACAACTGTAAAAAATTACCATTGGCCAGCGACGGGTTGCTCTAGCGCAATTGTATGCCGCGCAGAGTTTATCCACGACATCCATGCCTCCTTTAGTCTTATTATATTCTATGATTATTTCTGGTTTACATGTTGCATTATCAATGTTGTCGTCGTAATGCATAGTAGATAACAGTAAAACATTTTTACCTTTTCGGGGTACATACGATACAAGGGTACACTTCTCGTGAAATGCGAACATACTGGTTTTTTCTGGCCTTTGTTGTGTTAGCACAAGAGGAATTTGAGGTTTATTCTTTCGTAACGTTCCTATAACAGTTAGACGATGTTCACGTTGAAGAAATCGCGCGAGTTGAACGCTTGTGAAAAAATTATCCATGGTAACATACCTTCCCGTCCCCCAAATCGGTTCACACAGACGAGGTACAAGTGACATATTTGACGTATCAACAAAATATTTTCCTGCTGACTGTCTACCAACTTGGACGTATTATACATCTCAGCGTCTGCTAAAGCATATATTTTTATACCATCACGATTTGGTTTATTCGGTATGTAAACACTGAATGAACATTTGCCGCGAAAGGCTTCTAACTTTTCATCTATCGTAGTTTATGCTGAAAGATTGTAATGCTTCGGTAGATTAAAAGAATTAAAAGCTTCAAAAATACGTATCGCGGCCAACTTGTCGAATTCTTGCCTTTGTATTCAAGTACTTTTGTCATCGAACCGAATGTGTCTTAAAATGAACTGGAACCTCTTTAGCGACATCGTAAGTCGATAAATCTCCATTGACCTTCCATCTGCTCTAAATAAATCATCAGCATTCTGATGATTGCTTTTGTTAGCGCCAGATATGTACGGCAGCCCAAACAGAGCTTTTAATTCTATAAGATCAATTAGCCTCGCCGTTCTGTTATTGACTGTGTAATAGCGTTTCAATGCTATAAACTTATTGGTGCATTCTACTATTTTTTCTAGAATATCTGTGGTGAAAAAACATTCCCAAATCTCTTTACGTTACGATTCAATTCATGATGCTTCCTCCACCTTGTTCCATCTTTCCCAAACAAACGTGGTATGCGCGGTATTACTTCTACTGGTACATGATTTTCGACATATTCTTCATCACAGAAATCTTCCTCTGAATTGCTATCATATTCTAGAACTTCTGAACAATCGTCTTGGAAACTTGCGTCGTCATCTTCTGGTTCCGGTTCGGAATTAGCAACAATTTCGTCAAAAAGTTGTTGTAACCTGATTTGTTCTCTTTCGTAATCCATATTCACATACAACTCCTAAAATGAATTTCTATTATTTAAACTGACTGGACCAAAAACGAAAAAAACTTACCGTTGAGTATAACACAAATGGTAACCTCGGTTGCTCACACTGTCAGGTCAAATAACATATGAACTATGCGCACTCGGTCACAGATTTTTCAATACTGATTAGCGTGATGAGGATTCGAAAGCTACCACGCCGCGCGGACAAAAAAATATGCGCATTTGAGTGTTAGCGCGAAAAATCTACTACGTCGGTGTCAGGGACAATCAGGATTTCGAAAATCCTTTTTAGAATGAGCAGACAAGTCTATAGAATAACAAGTATTATAGAAAACATAAAGAAATATACTTCTACAAGCAATTTGATTAACCCTTTCACTGCGCACGGATCCGTGCGCATCCGTAGCCCTTTCACGGATCCGTGCCAGACTGAGTTTTCAGACAGACAAACGCCATAAGTACGGCATAAAATTATATATAAAAAAAAAACAAAAAGAGCAATCAACCGATTTCTACCTGGCGAAATCTAATTCAAATTTTGACCACTGTGCTTTCTAAAACTTGCAAAGCAAACAGCTTGATAAATAACTCGCAAGGAAATCTAAGATTACATTCCACATGCCGTTTATCATGGTCAAAATTCGTAGTGAATTCAATTTTTGGTACTCCAAATGGAGTAAAGAAATCAAATATAAAGACGGCACTAGATTTTTGTTTCAATACAGAGCGGTGGCAAGCCGCTTATACATATTTCGACCTCTTTAGATTTCATCAGAGCGGTATAGCCACCTCTCTGGATCACCTCGGCTTTTTTATCTATTGTGTAGACAATTCCATTTTCACAGTATAGTGGAGGTATAGGTTTTCTATCTTTTCCTAGTATTTTTTGTAGTTCACATATATTGTGCATGTTTAGATCTTGTTCCTCCATTTCTTGAACATGGTTATCCCCCAACACGGTTGGCTTCTCTATTCTGCTTATTGCTGTTTTCACTTCTCTGTTTAGCCGATTTACCCTGTTTTTGTCCTACTGTTTTTCATCCTTTTAGCTCTCTTTTTGGCTCTGTTCTTTTCCCTTATCATGTCCTTGATTTCCTGATTTACGTCTCTAAACGATCCCTATGTATGTCTATTTCTTCTTCAGTAGTGATATTTTTGAGTACTTTTGTATGCTGTTTTTGAACTATAGGACTCTTTCTTCTATTTCTTGTGAATTGTTTATTGATTCCGATACTCACAAGTTTTTTGTAATTTGTCGACTCTGTTTTCTTTCTTGTTGTATTGTTTTCTTCTCGTGTTCCTTTTTCTAGTAGTATGAGGTTGCGGTCTTGTAATCCTTCGTTTAATGTTCTGATCTAGGTCTGTAGTCCTAGATTTTAACTACTACTATGTCTAGATATGTAGGTTGAGCATTTTCTGTGAAATATATTGGCTCGATGGGCCATATTACCATTGTGTCTTCATTGTTTAGAATAGAATAGAAATATGCTTTATTGTCACTGAAAATTATTGAACAATTTTATGGACAAAGCTAAAAAATAAATCAGTCAAATAGTACAAAAAGTATAAAACAAAAACAAATATAGTAAAAAAC